TTTGCCATCAGCACGCAGGTGATATTTGTGCGCGTTTATGGACGCGTGTTTGACCTTGCCCTTGTGTCCTTGTGTCCGCATGCAGATGTTGTGCCGCTGCCGCCTGAGGTGAGCAGTTACCGGCGCGGCCGTAAAAAGCGCGTGCCTTACACCAAGGTGCAGCTGAAGGAGCTGGAGAAGGAGTACGCGGCCAGCAAGTTCATCACCAAAGACAAGAGGAGACGCATCTCGGCCGCCACCAACCTCTCGGAGCGCCAAGTCACGATCTGGTTCCAGAACCGGCGCGTCAAGGAGAAGAAATTCGTCAGCAAATCCAAGAACAATCACCTTCACACCACTTGAGGAGCCGGCGTGCTCCTGCGTCGCGTTTACCTCCGCCTCGGGGGAATAAGATCGAGAGCAACGAGCATCTTGCTTTGTTTTTAAGTTCACTTCCATCTCCATCAAAAGAACACATGGCCCGACCGGTTTCAACTTGGGAGACAAAGTCTCTCAAAACTGTGAAAATACCGAAAATGGACTCCATCTTTGTTTTATATGACTGTACATATATAAATATATAATATTTAAAACGATATATGTAATTCAAAGTCAAGTATTGTGTGTTTTCTTTTTTTGATGATGATGAAGATGATGATTATTATTATTTTCATAATTCTCTCCAAACCAAATCACAAAAGGACTGATGACGTTTTTAAAAAAAACATGACTGATGTTTGCTGACTTTAATTTGATTGTTGTTGCTTTTTTTTGTTTGTTTGTTTGTTTGTTTGTTTTTATCGCCATACGACAGGAATGCTTGGCACTTCATGTCAGGTTGCACCCAAAAGACTTTAAGACCCTCAACGAGAAAATAAAAATATTAGAAAGAAAAGAGGAATATTTGGGGTGAGCCATTCTTTTCTTTTCCCCGTTGAATTCAAAAGCGATGATCTCCTCTCCGCGGGACTGTTTGTTCTTCTAAGGCTGCGATGTTGTTTATCTGTGTAGTGCAATGCCTTTTTTAAAAATTATTTAAATTCATCTTACGTATGGCCGAAGTGTATCCTCGAGTATCCAGTGCCTGTATGTTCTCTTTTTTCTGTTTTCTTTTCTTTTCTTTTTGTTTGTTTGTTTTGTCCAAGAAGGATTCTGTCATGCATCTGCAATGATTGTAAAGCATTAAAGTCAGTGAGTACTACACCTGGATGCACACGCCTTTTATTTGTCGCGCCGAGCTTGTAACTTTGCTGCACTATGCCGTGACGGTCTCATAAATACACGATGATGACGATGATCAACTATTCCAATCACTCAGCCACTGCATGGCACACACTCTTGCTCCTGCCTGTGGCGCGCGCGCTCGCTATCGCGCGTGCTCGGAGAAGAAGCAGCACGGTCGAGCGGATGTGCTCGGAGCCTGATGAATCCAAAGTCTTCCCCGGCGGGCATTGTAACGTCCGCGTGGCTGTTGGCCGGCCTGCTGGCGCCTTGCAACGTCTTGTCGCCCTTTGCCGAGAGGCCGAACGGTGCACACTTTCCAGCCGGACATATTTGTTTGGTGCACATTTGGTGGCTGTCCTCCCAAATTAGCCGCATTCCTCGCACTTTGGCCCTTCTTGTTGATTTCAAAATACATTGTTTTTATTGTGATCAGCGCCATTATTCTTCTTGTGATTCTAATTATTATTCTCATTATTTTGATCCTGATTATTATTTTGCGATTTGTAGATTGATATGGTATAGGGTATTGTTTTAGTTCTCGGGAAGTAAATTGCTCCAAATATGCCGTTTGTGCAGCGGAAAGTAGAAAACAACTACTAGCAATTTGTATTCCTCCTTCTTTCCTTTTCTCGTATTGCTGTATTGTAAAAAAATCCAGTTGGACCTTTGCTCTTTGTCGACTTTTTAAATGATAATAACGGAATCGTATTTTTCGCGTTTTGTATTTTAATTTATTAGTGTTACTCACGGAGTTGCGTAGTTGTCCACACGCATATTGTTGACGCCAAAAGATATCTGCCACGTACTCACAAGAGCAAACCGATTTATTTGGGAACGGTTTGGACACTTTGCTCACTTTGTGGCATAATTCCCATTCCGACTAAATCCAAGATGAAAATGTGGAGGAAAAGACGCAAGTGAGATTTGCACTCAACGCAAGGCTTTACTTTATTTTCACACAAAACAACAACAACAAAAAAAATCTTGTTCGCTGTTGTTGTTTTATTGGTCGTTGTTTTTTAACTAAATACACCGCGGCATTAATTCATACGCAGAAAAAGAATGCAATGCGGGTTGTTATCGTTTTGAGCAAACGTGTTTGCCACCACCACCGCCGTTCTTCAATGTAAACTTTGAGTCGAGAGAAGTATAAAGTTTGTACGTCGTCTTAAATTTAAAAAAATAAATAAAGGCATGCAACTTTAGATGAGTTTAGCCCGGGTTTTTCATTTGCGCTTTTATTGGTCTGAATAATCGATAAGTGTTGGACGTGATTACTATTTTCCTGCCTGCGTTTATTTGATGAGTGAAATGTAGCGACGTATCCAGTTGGAAATAAAATAAGCTGTCATTATTGTCGAGTTGCAATCTGCTTGGCCATTTGTTGCCTGCCCCCCTCGGACCCCCAGTCTCACCAGATCGTCTTAGGTTGTTGACTGCCATTCGAGATGTCGTTGGTTTTGTCGCTGCACTTTTGAAGTTGTTGTGCAAAAGTTGTGGCTTTTACCCTTGACCATGACTATGCAGTCACTTTGACCTTGACATGGCGGCAGATTGTGCATAATAAATAGGGGGCTGGACACCGACGCAGGCGGTTTGTTTGTGGCCAAACAAGGTGTTATTTCCCCGTCTAGACAGACGAACTTAATGGCATGCCATAAATGCATAAAAAAGGGGGAAGTCAGGCGAAATCCTCTGAACGCATTTCGAACCATCACTCCAGGCCTTGCATTAACATTTGGTCTCTGCACTTTTGTCTTTTTGCTCCTCTGACAGAAGTGCTCTCAGAAGTGCTTCCTCTGCCGAAGTGGACACCGTGGAGCACAACGCGGACCTCGAACGGCAGCGGTGGCGGTGAGAGGAGTGACGTGAACGTCGTCCTGAAGAGAAGCCCCGTCAAGGTAACAGGCTGGTCTTTTTTTTTTCTTCTGCAGCTGCGACGTGGCAGCTTTGCTTTGCTCCGTCTCACAAATGGCGCTGTCCATAGGGGGCTGGACACCGACGCAGGCGGTTTGTTTGTGGCCAAACAAGGTGTTATTTCCCCGTCTAGACAGACGAACTTAATGGCATGCCATAAATGCATAAAAAAGGGGGAAGTCAGGCGAAATCCTCTGAACGCATTTCGAACCATCACTCCAGGCCTTGCATTAACATTTGGTCTCTGCACTTTTGTCTTTTTGCTCCTCTGACAGAAGTGCTCTCAGAAGTGCTTCCTCTGCCGAAGTGGACACCGTGGAGCACAACGCGGACCTCGAACGGCAGCGGTGGCGGTGAGAGGAGTGACGTGAACGTCGTCCTGAAGAGAAGCCCCGTCAAGGTAACAGGCTGGTCTTTTTTTTTTTCTTCTGCAGCTTCGACGTGGCAGCTTTGCTTTGCTCCGTCTCACAAATGGCGCTGACCACTTTGCACAGCTAGGACGCAAATTTCAAAGCACCCGTATTGTATTCTTGTCCTTATTCATATCGCTCTTTCTCCGCAACAGTCGCCCCGCATGCTGCACTGAATTATATTTGCATGATATTATTCAAATGGTAACGTGTACAAAGTTGTTCAGCAATAGAGCTGCAAATATTTTCGCATGCAGTACCAATTAGCCACACAGCCCGAATGAACATTTGTTTATTTTGGAAGCTGCCATATGTATTTTGTGACATTGTAAATTGTCTTCATCAAATATTGTACAAGTCTAATTGCCATTAGCAATACGAATCTATTAGTCAGGTTTGGGACGTTAAAAATGTTCGTTTCCCCCCCCCCTCCCCCATTATGCACACACTTTATGTGCACCTGGAGCAATCGGGTGCTCAGGCGCAAAAAAAATAAAAATAAAATAAATAGATAAGAATAGAGAATAAATGTGTAAGCGTGGAAACATGCAAGGTGAGGACTCGTGGCAGCTATATTGGTGAAAGTTTGTTTGCTCCCTTGTAGCCTCACCAAACAATAAATTCCATCCTATCAATTTATGTGATGAGGTTCAAAATGAAACTGGTCCAGGTTGTGCCTTGTAGTTGCTGACTGAAAGTCTCATTTTCTTTTATTAACGAGTGCTCGTAGCATTTCTAAGTGTGTGTGTGTGTGTGTGTGTGTGTGTGTGTGTGTGTGTGTGTGTGTGTGTGTGTGTGTGTGTGCGTGTGTGTGTGTGTGCGTGTGTGTTTGGGGGGGTCGAGGGGTGGAGCTGCAGGCCTTCCACGGGAGCCATTGAAAAGGGGGCTGATAACCTCTGGTGGTGAGCAGAGGAAAATATCAGGAAGTGCTGCCTGCTGCTATGCAAGCAAAAATGTCAGCCTTGCACAGTGGCAGCTTGCTCGCTTGGTGTTTAGCTTTCGTACTTTTGACTTATTGATGGGCTCTTAGGAAGGGGAGCAAAAAAAAAAAAAAAAAAAAACAGACATGTCTTGGACCAGAAATGTATTTTTATTCCGTTGAATTCGAGTTCCATTTCAGTGCATGCACGTGAGTGTTGTTTACACACATTCTAAACGCGCACTTCAGTGTAATGGCCCTTTTAATATAAATTGCAGAACAGAAATAGAATACTTCTTTTTAGACTGCACAATATATTTCACATTGCATTCTATCCGGAAAGCTTTTGAATGTGTCACTTATGATTTGACAGTGCATTTAAGATCCTTACACTTAAGAAAGTGTTTCATAGTGTGTGGGTGGCGCATTGCGATACAAGATATTGCATTTTCATTTTGCACGGCTCCACAGTAACTTTTTTTTTAATTCGGAGCTCAGTGGCCCCTAACCTGAAATTTTAGGGACGCACACGTACTCTAAATTGACTTGCCAATAAATATGCGTGCATACCATTTATTTTAAGGGTTAATGATGAACGGGCTGAAGTTTGGAGCAGAAGTTTGTCAGCAACAAAAACAACAAAAATAAAGAATAGTAGTGATTTAAATAAAAAGAAAAAGAAACGAAATGCGAAAATCCGAAAAGGTTGCACTTGCCGCGAGTGGATGAAAATTGTCGTTGCGTGGTCCCAAATTTCCGCAGCCAAATGTCTTCATTTAAGGGCAGCGTCGAGCCCTGAATTTACTTTTTTTTTAATGGTGGTTGCAGCGTGCATGTGTGAATAATGGAAATGCACAAATTCTGCTCACTAAAACAAGCATTTACAAAACATCAGTATCATATATTTACAGGACTATACTGTCATTCAAATATTATAATTGAGTTCAATTATTTTCTTTTTGAAATATAAAACTGATCGCTTTAGAAAAGTTTTCCCATCAAAGTGACGGTCAAGTTCAATCCGACATTGAATTATTTCACGTTCATTTAACGACAAAATTAGGAACGACTCGAAATACCTTTTTTGGGGGGTGGGGTGGAGTCCTGCTGAATAAAGCAGACGTTTGGACTCTCATCCAAATTTTTTATTTTTGATGCGTATTATTTTAACACACTCGTGTCTTGCTGATGCGCAGCAAACGCTGCGTCCAGTGTGGTTGCTGTCGTGGGGCAATTTCGACGCTCATCCCAAGTGGCGTTTTTAAGTGAAACTAGCACTTGCTGCTTGCATGTCTTGAAGGGAGCTTTAAAAAAAGGGATTGCCCAAGGCCATAACAACCTGCCTCACTGAATCAAAGAGAGAAAATGGAGAGAAAGGCCCTTTGTTTGGGGCTATTGCCCTGTCTGGCCACCACCAATGGATTTCAGGAGGCTAATTCCATTATCGAGGAGACGCTGTACTAGACAGTGACCTTGACTGTCTCTATGCTCGATATGCTTGGCCCCCCTTAGCCCCTTTTTAAGATTGCTTGCCTCCCCCCCTAACGAGAGCAAAAGGCAAATGGATTTCTGCGGGAGCCAAGCATGACATCATCCCGAGAGTGCAGGAGATGCCCCTAGCGCAGCCATCGCACTGGGCTGAAAGTCAAATGCGGACGTTTGGGAGCAGAGCAGCGGAGGACGCCCAACACTGGTCCTCTTCCGTCCAAGGTAAAGAGGCGACTTCAGCCTTCGGCTCTACTCACGCTGCGCACCCAGGTGGCTCGTGTAGCTTGTGTGGCTGCTGGCTGGCCGCTCATGCAGGGCCGCTTTGGAGTCAACGTCGCACTCGATTCTTTGGCTTTTGCTGTTTGTATTATGACAAGGTCTTGACGCGCTGCAGTAGGACGCCTAAACGCTCCTCACTTTAGCTGTGATGAAAAATATGCGCAGCAGCAGCAGCGCGTAGCGAAGTGGAGCAAGCCTATTTGAAATCTCCATTTGAAGCCTTTTCGAAGTGCGGTCTGCCTTTATTTAGGTTGGTGCGATGAGATACAACATCAGCTTTCTGCTCTCAAATGCCGACTGGTTTGCAAAAAAAAAAAAAAAGTTCCTGCATAACACTCGAGCATATTTGAAGCGCGTCAGGATCACTTTGGAGAGCAGGAGCTCTCACGTACTTGTGAACGACTCACTTAGCACTTAGAATTGCGCAAGTTTTTTTTTCTTATTTTCTTTTTTTTCATTCCTTGCATTTTAGATATATAGTTGATATTTTATGTCCACCAATTTGTTCAAACATGCAACGCAACACACACACACACACACACACACACACACACACACACGCACGCACGCACGCACACACAAATTGTACAAACTTCAAAAACATTGCACAAACTTCAAAAACATTCCGCATCATTCATTCACACTAGTCAAACTGATGTCAAGTATTTTTTTTCTAAACTTTGACAATTTTGCCTATTTTGAGTTCAAAACCAAGTTCAAGCAACCGTGAACTTGGCTTCGTCGTGCATGCGGCCGCTTATAGCGAATGCAATTGTTTTGGGTTTTTTAAATACCTCTGTTCTGTCTATCTTCGATTGAATTAAGTTTAGTAATGCTGCAGTTTTTCTTTAATTCATAAAAATATGCCCATTATTTGCATCATTTGTATAGAATCTCAATGAACAATAGTGCAGTTGATGCAGCGTTAATTGTGAAGGCTGCAAGTGGAGTTTGTGGGGCTGGCTGTGCAAGTTGCGTGCGAATGTTTGTGCGTGTTGGGCACTTTCATGTTAATGATAGTGCAAACTATTTCAAGCAAAGTCATAACTGCTCTTTTCTTTCTTTTTGATTTTCTTTGTTGCTGCTGTTGTTGTTGTTTTTTAATTCAAGATGCCCCGATCTTTTGTAGAGAAGTGACTCCACAAATCAACTAATTAGCGCAGACGGAAACTCTCAGTTACGTGTCCCCTGTTATCCTGTAAAAATCATATAAAAGAATTGCGAGAAGGGTAACAATCCCACCAGAGTTAGTCAGTGGGCTTTATTGGAGCGATCTGTTAAACTTGTTCATGTGAGGTGTGCTATAGAATATACGCTCTTAAAGTAACCTTATAGAGCCACCCCCGCCCCCCCCACACACACACACATTTTTTTTTTCAACAGAGCCACTGGCTTCAACCTGCTGACCCTCTCTTACTGTAAATACGGCAATGAGCATCAGTCCTTTCTTTAAAACAAGCTTGTAAAGTTGGGACATCACGCCTTTATGTGACAAGGAATTCAACCATAATTTGGTACAAGATGCCACATGCAAACCCTCCTCGAAAGTGGGTGGGGGACAGTGTTTTCATGAGATAGACAGAGCGTTTAACAAAAAATAAAAACTTTTGCCAGCTTGTAAAAATATTAAACGAGAACACGGCCAACTCCTTTAGTGAAGTGGTTTTAAGAAAAGACAAAAAAAGCAGCACTGGGTACTTTTGGTCTCATGACTCAAGTCAAGAAAGAAACAAGCTTGTGGAATTTTATAAAAAGCTTTATGGTATTTTCAAAAAGCATATAAAGCTGAGCTATAGAGACGTGAATGTTTTGTTTTGCCTGAGCCCGAGCGAGTGGGTGGGACCCCGTGGAGCAGAAGTTGGCCTAGACACGTGGTCTCAGGCTGACCAATCAGGCGCCCCCCCAGGTTTAACTATGTTAAATGTCAGATTGCAATAAACTAGAAGCTGTTGGTCGGGCCCGCGGAAATGGGCGAGCATAATCTCCTTAATCCGGGCTTTGTGGGACCTTTGGTAAACATCCACACTGGAGACACCTTTTATTTCCCCAATTTTCGAGCCTCGGGGGGACAACTGGCGGGGCTACCGTCTCTCTCCTACCCCAGGAGGGACAACGTTTGCTCCCTCCCGTGGAATCCTTCGGAGCCGTGCAATGGATACTCCCAGTCCTACTTCAGCAGCCCCGTCTCTATTAACCCCTCGTTCAACCGCTCGTGTGAGATCAGCAGAGCGGAGGAGGCCAAGTGTTACTACGGCAACGGCGCCAGGGAGGCGTGCGGCGGCGGAAGCGGCGGCGGCAGTGGAAGCTCGGGCTCGGGCTCAGGTGGCCTCAAGCGGGAGGACAGGGCGAGGGACACAACCTCCTCATCCCTAACATCAGAGCACGGGATGCACGCCGGGATTGGCGCCGCCGCCGCAGTGGCGGCGGCCGCCTTCGCCAAATACGAGTACGGCAACGAGCAGCTGACGCAGGACCCTCCGTCCTGCCAGTCCATGGAGTCCGACTCCAGCTCGTCCCTGCTCAACGAGAGCAGCAAGCCCCCATCCGGCGACACGCAGAGCCTGGTGTCCCCGGCAAGCCACGCCAACAACATAGCCGCGGGCGGAGGTGGGTGCCGCTTGACATTTCAGAGGGGAACGGGAAAGCAGCTTTTCATTTGATTCTGTTGTCGTTGTTCGAGTGCACGCTGCATGCGCGTGTATAGCTAGGCTGCGCATACACGAGTGTAGAAAAGCGTCAATTAGTGCGGTAATGTTGTGCAGACTGCAAAGGGACTTGCGCGGTGCGCACACGCCACTAGGGGTTGCCCTAAAAATGCTCCACACGCCATGTGTCTTTTCTTCTTTTTTTTTTTTTGCGTCCCCTCCATGGTGGAGCCCCTTTTCCAAAAGACAGCATCTTTGTCACCGTGCTCCCACGAAAGCATGCACCTCGCCTGCATGCATGTGACTTTTGTCCTGTGTTGGCCGCTGCAAAGTGGCGCGCCCACGGCCACGACGCGCTTTAATTAACAACAACCAAAAAAAAAGAAAAACAAAGAGAGAGATCAGCCCCGCTTCACTGCCTCCAGATTAATTTCTTTCTCTCTCTCTCTCTCTCTCTTTTTCTTGTTTTTAATGACTTGTAAACGGTATTTTTATCAGTTGCATGTATTCGACGCTAATTTAACACGCGGCCGCAGACATTGGCAAATAAAGCCAACGCGGCTTAATTGTCACGTGAATGCAACTTTAACTGCGACAATAAAACTTTTTTGCTGTGGCACGAATCATTCTGCTATATGCCGGATGAAGATGCAAGGGACACCGTGAATATAAGTAGGATTCTGGAAAATGTCTTATCGATTGCTGCTTGAAAGGGGGAAGAACTAAAACAAATTGCATTAGGCGTCGCGTGCAGGAAGTGGCTGCTCGCTTCCTTATCGGCTTAATTTCTCTGATAGCCAATTTAAAGTTTACGGGGAAAACGTCCCCTTGTGTCCGTTCTTATTTGTGGTGATTGCTCAATGAAAGGTTTCGTCGAGTGGGTCGCCAGTAAGCTGACGTCCCTCCAGACTCGCCCTAACCTTGGATGTGACCATGATTTTGCGTTATGCAGCTATACATGAACTTGCTCCAACCTCCTGTTCTTCCTCCTCCACCTCCTCGCCGTCCTCCTCCTCCTCACCACCTTCGCCCTCTTCCTTGTCCAGGTGCCCCGTGGTACCCGATGCACACGCGGACCAGGAAGAAGCGCAAACCTTACTCCAAACTTCAGCTGGCCGAGCTGGAGGGCGAATTCATGCTGAACGAGTTCATCACCAGACAGCGGCGGAGGGAGCTCTCCGACCGGCTCAACCTCAGCGACCAGCAGGTGAAGATCTGGTTCCAGAACCGCAGGATGAAGAAGAAGAGACTCATGCTGAGGGAACAAGCTCTGGCCTACTTTTAGTGCTGACGCGGCTGCAGAAGGTGAATCAGCGAGACGCTAAAGAAAGAAAGAAAGAAAGAAAGAAAGAAAGAAAGAAAGAAAGAAAGAAAGAAAGAAAGAAAGAAAAACGCAAAACAAAAAGTAGCCCAATCTTCTGTGCTCACGTGGTTTTCAAGTGCATGCACGGCCTCTTCTTCATCTTTCCAAGGAAGTTCTGTTCGCCAGCCCCATTTCCTGCTGTTTTCGAGCCAGTGTATGAAATTCAATCATTGCTGTCGTCGCACAAATTTGGGGAGCTTCAGTCAAGTCGACTCCCCAATTTGAGGGAAACGCAACGAGCCAAATTTCACATAACACCCTCAATGGTCTTTTTGCCCGCGCTTGCGTGTGAATGAACGAAAACAGGCAGGGCCTCTTTCGAAAAACCTTCCAAAACAAAGCTAGACATTCAAAAGGACCGCCAGGACTCAAGTGGTTGAATCTACGCATCAATCCACTAATGTGATTAAATAGCAGGGAGGGAGGAGGGGGGGGGGGAGTCTTGCCCTCCGCGCATACACACGCACGCACGGACACAATATAGTATAATTTGGGCCACGCGTTGTGGACACGTTCACGGTCACGGGCAGGAAGTGTGCAAGTGTGCAGGAGGAGAGCCACGCAGTACGTCAAGTCCAACAAATAAAGGCAGGTTCACCGTCTTTATTTTTCGTGTGCAATGATTGCGCCCATCTGCTGTCATTGTACTGCTTCCTACCTATGGAGAAGTGCTGCACGCATTTAAAAAAAGAAGGGGAAAAAATAATATTTTAGTTGACAGCATATAATTGTTAAGTGAAAAACTTAGTGTCCGTATTTTAAACAATCGACATATTGATGCATTTAAGGCCTGATGGTGTAATTTCAGCAGGCGATTTTCCCTCCTCCAGGCCTTAAACAGGATTTCAGATTTTCAGATTTTTTTTGGTGCTCGTGATGAATAGATATCTTACGGATAATCATACCAGCACTATTAATAATAATGAGAGCAATCGTCCATAAGAAGTATTCGCGTGTGCGGATGCGGTCGAACGAGTAACGGGTGTAGCCGTGAGCAGTGTATTTGCAGCATGACATTACTGTGAAAGTACTCCAGGTCGGGCCACTTTTCATGTAGGTGACGCGTTTGTCTTCTGAATTATCTGTGTGTGTATTTTTTATTTTTCTCCCTGTCCACTTTCCGAGGCGACCCCGCGTTGAGACCGCGGGAATGCTTGTTGGCGTTGTTCTTTGAGGAGGGACGTGCGGGCGCTGCGCGGCCGCCCTCGACGTCCTCCTGCGACCTCCTACTCGTGTATAACTTTGTCCTGCAATGTCATGACACATGTTACTCGATTGTGTGGATCCCCGTTCCACGCCGTGTATTGGTGCTTTATGTTTTGAATCGTCTTGAACAACGAATACTGTCGCATTCCGTGAAGCATATTTGTGGTCGTGCAGCGGGAGTTGGAAATGTGCTCGGCCTCTTCTATTATGATATAAATATATACTGGCACATATTTGATATGGACAAAAGGGGTCCCCCAAAATGTTCCGTGTTAGTAGCTGTTTGTTCTGGTGGTTACTTTGATTTGGGCCCTCGTTTGCATTGCTTTCTTTGCGCTTGTAAGGATTGCTCCATTGTCTTGTATAGTCATGATATGAATGTATATGCGTACGGTCTTCAATAAACAGAATATTGCAACGTCCCTCAGTCTTGTCATTGGCCGTCGGGATTGCGTTATACAGGAGGGACCCGAAGATCTGAGCCGTAATTTGAAGTATAGTGTCGGAGGCGGAGGGGGCGGCTTGCACATAATCCACATTCTGTGAACTCCAAGCTGCGCAGGTTGGCCTTTCTTTATTGGGACCGCCTGAATACAAAAGTGCATGACAGAGGTGAGCTCGCCCCCAAAACAATCGAAAAACAAAACAAAACAGCAACACTTGCAACTTCCGGCTTCAAACGTTCTCCAGGATCCCCAATAGTGCATGCCTTCGGCTGATTTTTATTGTAGATAGATAGATGGATAAAAACACACACACACACACACACGCACACACACACACACACACACACACACACACACACACACACACACACACACACATTAGTATATATATGTGTGTGTGTGTGTATTTGTATATATATATATATATATATAATGTGTGGGCGTGTGGCTGTATGTGTGTGTTTTTATCCATCTAACAGGGCTTCCTTTCAATTAGAACTTAATATGGGTACTCTTTTGCAAGGCTATAATGGTGCCGCTAAACATGAAACAGCTCTGTAAAGTCAGTAATGGTGTTACACCCTGGTGCTCCATATAAACAGGCCCAGTGGACCCACTCTTTTTTTCCTTCTTTTTACATACATGCACCCCCTCGTGCCCTGGTTTGCACCGGAGGTGCGCACATTTGCATAAGAAGCAATGAAGCGATAAAAGTCGGCCTTGTCTGCTGTGTACCGTGCAGCCAGCAAGCGCTGCATTCTGCCAAGGCTCAGTCAAGCAAGGATATGATAGTTCGTGCGGCTGCGTGCGTATGTCTGAAGTGCAACACGAGCACGCGTTTGCGTCCAGCATTGTGAGCTTTTCTTGTTGTCTTTTCGGTCCACGCTCACTCGAATCGTTATGTCCCGCGAGGAATCGGCACAGCTCCATTTTCTTCCTGACCTCGGTGCTCGTGGACATGCGTGTCAGGACACGAACCGCTGTGAGCAAAGAGATGCATTGTGCTTCAGCGACCTCGCTTGAGTTTGATTTTCACACTCAAATTAGTTCGACTGAGTTGTTATCAAATCACACAACATGCAGACCTCGCAGAGTTGACAGCAAATGTTGTAGTGACGTCACAACGCCTGCACCCCGTGTCTCGCTTTCAAGACGACGCTGGAGCGAAGTTGTTGTCGAAAATGAGAAAGTTCCACGTTGGAATAGTTGTTTTTTAGGCGGCGGATGATGACAAACAGCTGGAGATGTGCTTTGGTTTCAAGAATCCTCCACGTCAAAGTTCTCCTATATCTGGTTCACGTTTGGGATCCACGACAGTTCCACGTTGAGGGAGACAAAAACAACAACAAACGAGTTCTCACTCGCATGCAGTGGCCCAAGTGTTATTTGAGGCACTCTTCCGTTTTCATTTCACTCTTTTCCTTTGAATGTGCAAATCGTGCTGCGCGAGCGTGCAACAGATGCGAAGCAACAGCGTCAACGAGCGAGCTGGTTAGCGATTGGAGTACATTATTCATAGCAGTCAGGTTTGTCTCCGTCAAAATTAAAAGTGGCGCCTTCGTATTTGTTTATTGTTGCCTTGTTGAATGCGCTGCATAAAATGCTCCATCTCGCTGCTGACTTGGCCTGCACATTCACTTCTGGAGGGCACATTCCCAAACGGCCAAGGTCAATCGTATCATCACAATACACACAGCGCGTCCCGTGCGATTGAACAACATTCCATCTTGTTGTACAATACTTCCTCTAAAATCACTTCTCGAACCACGCACCGACCTTGTGTCTGGTTTAAAGGGTGTGGTGTTTTTTTTTATTCTCTCCCCACGACGCAATGACTTTTGGGCACCTTTGTAACTTGCTGCCCTTTGACTGTGTATGCAGGCTTGCGCATGCAGGATGCAGGATGTCCCGCCGCGCACAGCTTAATGTGAAACTTGTTCAAGGAAACTTTGATTATTCGCTTTGATTCTTCGCTTTATGAGCATATTATGCCGAATCCTCAAAATCAGCTTTGCGGCGCGACTTTGGGTGCGTGTGTTCTGTAGCTGGCAGAATTTCAAAGCCCCGAAAAGAAGGGAGTGCAGGCGGAGGAACCTGAATTGAGACATCCGGATTGTAAAACGTCGCTGGGGTTTTGCACCACTTGGAACAATAGCTTGCGTGCGTGCTCAGCACCAAGTTTGACTTTGAGACTGACCAAATGTGTTTATGGCGGCCCGCAGTCTCCACGTCTCAAAGGTCAGTGAGCTTCACGGTGCCCTTCGCAGAGAACTTGTGTCACGTGGGCTGCGTGGGCTCGCAGCCCCCCACCACTGGAGCAGAGCCGCGCGGCCTTTATGGCGAGTGGCTGGCCAGAAAAAAAAAAAAAACACACACACACACACACACACTCACACACACAAGAAAAATGCCCGATACTGTTCTGAGTGCGCGAGTGTGTTTGTATATGTACTGGTCGAATTGTTGTGAAAAGTGTGCTTTCTACCATCGTTGTTTAGATGAGACATCTGTGGTTATATTTCCGAGGTGTGCTCCATTCTCAACAAGCTTCTTGTTATTATTTAATCATTGTGCATGTGTCATTGACAAAAGAGAAGAAAAACACGTTTAAAATTGGTTCCCTTGGCGAGTTTGCAATGTTTGGCCAATCGACGTCATACTTTGGATTCTTAAAGCGTGGCGCGACTGCTCCGACTGCTGCGTTCTATGTCCTACTTTGGCATCTCGTGCTGTCGTTTTATTTTCGATCACCCTTTGCGAATAATTGGAAAATATTATTTGTCACACTTGTCATTGGTGCATAAAGTTTACATTTTTAATTTGTCGATAGAGAGTGCGTGATTGTCCCCCCAACACGTCTACTTTGAGCAGCAAAACTCATATTTTACTCAGGCAGCATATGTCAAATTAATTGACCAGACCAGGGACGACAGTCTTTCATTTGCCCGCAATTTTACAATTCCCCCCCCCCCATTTCCCACAACTCGATATCAACATTTCATATTGCGCTCTATCTCTTTAAGTTTGTTTATTTGACCTTTTAGTTTCGTTTTATTTTAATTTTTTTGCGTGTGCAAGGAAATTTTCGGTTGATCTATTTGTAATTGGATCTTTTTTTGTTTTGTATTCGCTACAGCGAACGACGGTGTCGGAAAGACAAACAATCGACTGCAATCATTGCCACTATTTTTAGATTCAACACCCCAAATAAATACTATTAAATTAGTTGGCATAAAAGTTATCAAAAACGTTTTTAAAATGTATTTTAAAAGTCAAATGCAATAATTAACTATTTTAAGTCTGACTTGATTATATATTCTAGTAATCATTTAAGACATTATAATAAAATAATTTTTGTTACACTAACATTTGTTTCTGTTTGCACACACACACACAAACACACACACACACACAC